GCCATATTGTGAGTGGCAAGTGCGCCATACAAATCAAAGCAAGTGTGGTTGGAAACTCGGTTTTCGAAATCAATGAAATACACACTTTTACTCTAGAGCAGAGGTCTTCAACAGGGGGTCCTCGGAGGTACTGCATGGGGGTCGCGAAAGTTTTGGTTGATTAGACTTTTTTTTTTTTTTCTTTTTCCCCCCTGCATTTTTTCCACTAATTGAAATGTCTTTAAATCCACATTAACATGAATTCAACACACTGTAGTAAACAGATAAATGGAGGCAGAACATGTCTTTCAATCATCAATGCCAGTGGCGGTTCTAGACCAAATGTCCCAGGGGGCCAGCCGGGGGCCAGCCGGGGGCCAGCGTGTTTTCATGGGGGCACAGGAAAGCATGAAATAAAAAACAGGGCAAGGGATTCAAACATATCAAGAGAGCTGCATGAAGTTAAATTTTTATTCAATTAGATTTGACTATACAATTTCTATTTCTTATTACATCAATAAACATTCATATTTTTAAATATTAAATTTGACACATTTTTGACTTAATTTAAGTGAAAATTACCGTTTTCTCTGAAATCTGAATTAGAATTAAATAATGTGATAATATATAAATAAAGCTGTAAAAATTAGCGCAATTTGTTTTGAAAAAAAACATTTAGCAGATGAAAACTGGGATCCTATCTCAACACCACTGAAGCTATCATGTTTTTGTTTTTCATAAAAAAAAACAGGGGCACATGCCCCTGTCGGCCCCTGTCTAGAACCGCCCATGATCAATGGACACATTCAGCGACACACAGGAGCTCTTTCAAGCTGGGCACTGTTTCATTCACAACACCTGTCCCATCAGCGCGGAATCATAATCAGAAATACTTTAATAATCCCAGGGCGAAATTACTTTTGTTACATGTCTCCATCTGTAATAGAGGGACTATAGGACCAATTTGATATAACACAATTTCATACAATCTATGTTATTAGGGGGTCCCCGGTCCATCAATTTGGGGGTCCTTAGCTTGAAAAACATTGAAGACTCCTGCTCTAGAGAGTTTGTATGCATTGTTTTTGTCGCTATAGACTATGTCCACTTTAGCCTTTATTACAAAAATGCTAATCAAGACACTAATATCCAGATATGTACTGAACCTTTAAAACTCTTGAATCTTGTTTTTTAGGTAATAATTATAGTGAAGTAAGATTCATGTTTATGATAACTTGAGTATTGTATAAAATAACAGCAAAAGAAAGCAGTTACATTTTTGTATTTATTATTTTTGTTTTATTTATTTTTTCAGAAAATTGTATTCACATCTCTATTCTTCCACTCTGCAGAAT